TAATCTCTTTGATAAGTACTGTTTGAGTGTCTGTATTCACTTTGAAAAGTAAGTTTTGAAATGTCGGTATTTCTTCTCTTTGATATGCACTGTAGTAAAATGTCTGTATTCTCTTTAACAACTACTGTTTTAAAATGTCAGTATTTTATACAAGTTTTATTTGTTGTATTTCCGTCGTCCATAGCATGTCTGACAGATTACAACACTTAAAGCAACTACTCGAGTAGACTGGGTTTCTAGGTTTGGTCACAGGTAACATAAGCCTCTACAGGTGGGGTGAGATGGTGTGGTCACAGGTAACATAAGCCTCTACATGTGGGGTGGGCTGGTGTGGTCACAGGTAACACAAGCCTCTACATGTGGAGTGGTATGGTGTGGTCACAGGTAACATAACCTCTACATGTGGTGTGGGCTGGTGTGGTCACAGGTAACATAAGCCTCTACAGGTGGTGTGGGCTGGTGTGGTCACAGGTAACATAACCTCTACATGTGGTGTGGGCTGGTGTGGTCACAGGTAACATAAGCCTCTACAGGTGGTATGGGCTGGTGTGGTCACAGGTAACATAACCTCTACATGTGGTGTGGGCTGGTGTGGTCACAGGTAACATAAGCCTCTACAGGTGGTGTGGGCTGGTGTGGTCACAGGTAACATAAGCCTCTACAGGTGGTGTGGGCTGGTGTGGTCACAGGTAACATAACCTCCACATGTGGTGTGGGCTGGTGTGGTCACAGGTAACATAAGCCTCTACATGTGGTGTGGGCTGGTGTGGTCACAGGTAACATAACCTCTACATGTGGTGTGGGCTGGTGTGGTCACAGGTAACATAAGCCTCTACAGGTGGTGTGGGCTGGTGTGGTCACAGGTAACATAAGCCTCTACAGGTGGGGTGGGCTGGTGTGGTCACAGGTAACATAAGCCTCTACATGTGGGGTGGGCTGGTGTGGTCACAGGTAACACAAGCCTCTACATGTGGAGTGGTATGGTGTGGTCACAGGTAACATAAGCCTCTACAGATGGGGTGGGCTGGTGTGGTCACAGGTAACATAAGCCTCTACATGTGGGGTGGGCTGGTGCGGTCACAGGTAACACAAGCCTCTACAGGTGGGGTGAGATGGTGTGGTCACAGGTAACACAAGGCTCTACAGGTGGGGTGAGATGGTGTGGTCACAGGTAACATAAGCCTCTACAGGTGGGGTGGGCTGGTGTGGTCACAGGTAACATAAGCCTCTACATGTGGGGTGGGCTGGTGTGGTCACAGGTAACATAAGCCTCTACAGGTGGTGTGGGCTGGTGTGGTCACAGGTAACATAAGCCTCTACAGATGGGGTGAGATGGTGTGGTCACGGGTAACATAAGCCTCTACATGTGGGGTGGGCTGGTGTTCTATGTCTGTTCACAGGTAACATAAGCCTCTACAGGTGAGATGGGCTGGTGTGGTCACAGGTAACATAAGCCTCTACATGTTGAGTGGGCTGGTGTGGTCACAGGTAACATAAGACTCTACAGGTGGGGTGAGATGATGTGGTCACAGGTAACATAAGCCTCTACAGATTTGGTGGGATGGTGTGGTCACAGGTAACATAAGCCTCTACATGTGGGGTGGGATGGTGTTGTCACAGGTAACATAAGCCTCTACAGATGGGGTGGGCTGGTGTGGTCACAGGTAACACAAGCCTTTACATGTGGAGTGGTATGGTGTGGTCACAGGTAACATAAGCCTCTACAGGTGGTGTGGGCTGGTGTGGTCACAGGTAACATAAGCCTCTACAGGTTGGCTGGTGGTCACAGGTAACATAAGCCTCTACAGGTGGGATGGGATGGTGTTGTCACAGGTAACATAAGCCTTTACATGTGGAGTGGTATGGTGTGGTCACAGGTAACATAAGCCTCTACAGGTGGTGTGGGCTGGTGTGGTCACAGGTAACACAAGCCTCTACATGTGGGGTGGGATGGTGTTGTCACAGGTAACATAAGCCTTTACAGGTGGGGTGGGATGGTGTGGTCACGGGTAACATAAGCCTCTACAGGTTGGCTGGTGGTCACAGGTAACACAAGCCTTTACATGTGGGGTGGGATGGTGTTGTCACAGGTAACATAAGCCTTTACATGTGGAGTGGTATGGTGGTGTCACAAGTAACATAAGCCTCTACTGGTTGGCTGGTGGTCACAGGTAACACAAGCCTCTGCAGATGGGGTGGGCTGGTGTGGTCACAGGTAACATAAGCCTCTACATGTGGGGTGGGCTGGTGTGGTCACAGGTAACACAAGCCTCTACAGGTGGGGTGTAAACGTGTAGGGGGGTGGAAGCAGGCGTTGTAACTGAAATAGCAATATTAACAGAGAGTGATATTTTAACGCCAAGGTTAGACAAAGGTACAGAAAATAGTCCAAGTAAAGACAAGCAGTCAGACACCAACGGGTTTCGAACCTGCCATTCCACACGGCACCTATCGCCATCGCCTTCCATGCATCAAGTCAGACGTGTTACCCATTTAAAAGGAAGCTACTATTTGTCTGTGCCATCGTCTCGGTATTTGTGTGTGTGTCGTTTGTATGGTCGAATAATGGTCCTTGTTGTGTTTATGAAAGCTAGCGGTCTGACCTTTCGGGTCAAGGGTCAAAGCCGTCCCGCGTCTACCTGCACAAGCCAAGAGAGTGGTCTGCCACAAAAGCCTTAAGCCTTATTTTTGTAGGGCCTAGTGGTAGAAGCGGTAACACGTCTGACTTGATGCATGGAAGGCGATGGCGATAGGTGCCGTGTGGAATGGCAGGTTCGAAACCCGTTGGTGTCTGACTGCTTGTCTTTACTTGGACTATTTTCTGTACCTTTGTCTAACCTTGGCGTTGAAATATCACTCTCTGTTAATATTGCTATTACAGGTGGGGTGAGATGGTGTGGTCACAGGTAACATAAGCCTCTACATGTGGGGTGAGATGGTGTGGTCACAGGTAACATAAGCCTCTACAGGTTGGCTGGTGGTCACAGGTAACATAAACCTTTACAGGTGGGGTAAGCTAGTGTGGTCACAGATAATGCAACCGCTTTCCAACTTTTCCAAGATGCAGGGGGAGCTTTTTTCCGCCGACTAAAATAGTAAGGATTTACACTTAATTTGTAAGCAGTACTTGGTGAGCGCCAATGGTACTTACAGGATAGCCCGGGGTACCCTGCCCAGAAGCCGGCGGATACGCCTGGGTTTATTTAGTGAACAACTATACACCATCTTATCAATAGTCCACAGCGCTCACAAGAACGTCAGGACTCCAAATAGCACCCTGTTGTTGAACGGCCCCTGCAAAATTAAAGTTTTTTTTCCCCGCAGAAACGTCTTCAGGAGTATGATCGGATGAAAGGTGTAGTAATGTATAAATAAAAAACAAGCACACAAACATATTTTCATTTATATATATTCAGTTTTCTTTTTTTTTACATAAATCAAAATCCAGTGTGATTCTTTATTCTGCCTGAAAATATTATAGAAATCTGTAGAATGATTATCGAGATATAATCATTTGAACAAACCGCCTTTTATTTCTAGCGCAAAACGAATATCGCTTTATTTGGAAGTACACTTTTAATCGGAAACGCAGTCGTTCGCTGCAATCACACGATTTTACACCACAACAGTCAAAGTGCTTATAGGTAAAGATGTTTGATTAATTACATTTTATCATTTTAAAAAAAATAAACAAAGAGTATTTGTTCATATAGCCTATTTCCAGTTTGATTTTCAAGAATTAAAGTGATTTGTTTACAATTTTAGTAGGCTAACACAGTGCTTTGAAACTAGATTTAGAATCTAAATCTAAAGATCAATTAAAACAATATTTTTCGAATTATATCTCCACAAGCTTTTGCAATAAATTTAATTATTGTTAATTATCTACTAGTTTTAGATTGAGGGTTTAGCTACGAGTTGAGAAATGTTTAATATGGTAGATCAAAATATGTTTGGCCTACGTGTTTAACGACATGGTTAGTTGTCTTTAGTAAATGCTCTTATGATTAATTTTAATTTTAGAGGCAAAATATTGAGAAGGCTATTCAGTTCAATAAATAATAAGCATGCTTCAATGTATAACGCATTAAAACATGAGCTTAGCAATTAGCTTGCTACAGTGATGAGTATTACATGCTTAGATTTTAGATCAAACTTGAAATTCTGTAATCACATTATATGAAAAGTTGTTTTCTTTCCAGATACCAGCCGCTCTCAACAGACCAGCCTCTCTCAACAGACCAGCCTCTCTCAATAGACAAGCCTCTCTCAACAGACCAGCCTCTCTCAACCGACCAGCCTCTCTCAACCCCACCAGCCTCTCTCAACAGACCAGCCTCTCTCAACAAACCAGCCTCTCTAAACAGACCAGCCTCTCTCAACAGACCAGCCTCTCTCAACAGGCATGCCTCTCTCAACAGACCAGCATCTCTCAACAGACCAGCCTTTCTCAATAGACCAACCTCTCTCAACAGACTAGTCGTAACATACAATAGATTAGCCTCTCCAAACAGACCAGCCTCTCTCAAAAAGACCAGTTTTATCATATAGTAGAACAGACTATCTCAACATACCAGCATCTCTCAACAGACCAGTCAGACCTATCAAGAATTTAACGCGACAGATA